TTACCTATCCTCATACCTTCCTTGTGTGTTCTCGCTTTATCATGTGATCAAAGTCCAATCCCATTGTTGTGTTTGCCCTTGATCTAATGTCCACATATGAGGGAGAACATATGATTTTTGGTTTTTTGGGCCAGGCTAACCTCACTCAGAATGATGTTCTCCAGTTCCATCCATTTACTTGCAAATGATAAGATTTCATTCTTCTTCATGGCTGCATAAAATTCCATTGTGTATAAAGACCATATTTTCTTAATCCATTCGTCAGTGGTGGGGCATCTTGGCTGTTTCCATAACTTGGCTATTGTGAATAGTGCTGCAATAAACATGGGTGTGCAAGTGCCTCTGGAGTAACCTGTGTCACAGTCTTTTGGGTATATCCCCAAGAGTGGTATTACTGGATCATATGGTAGATCTATGTTTAGATTTTTAAGAAGCCTCCAGATTTTTTCCAGAGTGGTTGTACTAGTTTGTATTCCCACCAGTAGTGTAAAAGGGTTCCTTTTTCCACAAATCCCCGCCAACACCTGTTGTTAGTGATGTTGCTAATGATGGCTATTCTAACAGGGGTGAGGATTGAATCTTAGTATGGTTTTAATTTGCATTTCCTTTATTGCTAGAGATGGTGAGCATTTTCTCATGTGTTTTTTGGCCATTTGAATTTCTTCTTTTGAGAAAGTTCTGTTTAGTTCACTTGCCCATTTCTTTATTGGTTCATTAATTTTGGGAGAATTTAGTTTTTTGAGTTCCCTATATATTCTGGCTATCAGTCCTTTGTCTGATGTGTAGCTAGCAAATATTTTCTCCCACTCTGTGGGTGTTCTCTTCAGTTTAGAGACCATTTCTTTTGATGAACAGAAGCTTTTTAGTTTTATGAGGTCCCATTTATCTATGCTATCTCTTAGTTGCTGAGCTACTGGGGTTCCATTGAGAAAGTCCTTGCCTATACCTATTAGTTCTAAAATATTTCCTATTCTTTCCTATACCAACTTTAGAGTTTAGGGTCTGATATTAAGATCCTTGATCCATTTTGAGTTAATATTGGTATAGGGTGATAAACATGGATCTAATTTCAGTTTTTTGCAGACTGCTAACCAGTTTTCCCAGCAGTTTTTGTTGAAGAGGCTGTCTTTTCTCCATTGTATATTTTTAGCGCCTTTGTCAAGGACAAGTTGGTTATAGTTATGTGGCTTCATATCTGGGTCCTCTATTCTGTTCTACTGGTCTTCATGTCTGTTTTTGTGCCAGTACCATGCTGTTTTTATTGTTATTGCTTTGTAATATAGTTTGAAGTCAGGTATTGTGATGACATTACTAATTCTAATAAACTATATGAACATTTAGAGAAGATACCTGTACCTATTTTAAAGATACCTATACAAATGTAGTTCCTCTAGATCAATTTCTCATTTTGTTGTTTTTTTTTTGTTTTGTGGTATTGGAGTTTGAACTCGGCCTATACCTTGAGCCACTTTGCCAGCCCTTTTTTGTGAGGGTTCTTTTTTCAAGATAAGGTGTCAAAAACTATATGCCCAGGCTGGCTATGAACCATGATCCTCCTGATCTCTGCCTCCTGAGTAGCTAGGATTACAGGCGGGAGTCACTAGTGCCCGGCTTCTCATTCATTTTGTCCGGATTGCTTCTGTGCAGTACAACTTCCTCTCTTTTCCCCAACTAAAGTTTCTCAAGTTGACTGGACCTTTCCCAGGTTCTCTCTGTTGTATGACTTATAGACACTGCTCTGCTGATCAGAAACAGCCTTAGCATCCCAGATGAAGTCTTTCTATACTCTGTTGCTTGAATTTCATTGTTTGTTAGATTTATACCTGCTCCATAGTCCCCTAATTCACTCCCTTCCATATTAGGTGGTGTGTTTCATAGCAACAAACCTGACAAATGGCCGGGCATGGTGGCTCAAACCTATAGTTCTAATTACATGGGAAATAGAGATCAGGAGAATCATGATTCAAGGCCAGCCCAGGCAAAAAGTTCTTAAGACCCCATCTCAACTAACAAGTTGAGCATGGTAGTACATACCTCATCCCAGCTACCTGGGAAGTATAAATAGGAAGATTATGGCCCAGGCCAGCCTGGACAAAAATGTAAAACCCTGTTCGAAAAATAACTGAAGCAAAAGGGCTGAGGATTTGGCTCAAGTGCTGAAGTATCTGTCTAGCAAGCACAAAATTCTGAGTTCAAACCCAAGTATCTCCAAAAAGAAACTTACATATGTCCCACCATTTATAGAGCAAGGAGTTGGAGTATGGGCATGGGACGGAGAATGGAGAGGAGAATGGGTTTAAAGGATCCAGCTTTGAGCTGGACACTGGTGACTCATGCCTGTAATCCTAGCTACTCAAGAGGCAGAGATCAGGAGGATCATGGTTCAAAGCCAGCCTGGGCAAATAGTTTTCAACACCCTATCTTGAAAAAACCCATCACACAAAAGGGCTGGTGGAGTGGCTCAAGGTGTAGGCCCTGAGTTCAAGCCCCAGTTCTGCAAAGACAAAAAATCCCTGATAAGGGATTCTTCCCAGTTACCTATGACCAAATTTGATTCTTACCTGATTCACTTCTAAGTTATAATTATGATAATTACTTTCATTTTTGAGCTTTTACAATGTGTCAGTGACTGTGCTGTGCATTTGCATTTATTATTTCATTCAGTCTTTCTAATAATCTCTGTTATAGACACTATTATTCCCATGTTACAGAGGGGAGAGACTAATGCTTGCCTAGCAAAGAGTAGAGATGGGATTTGAACCCACACCCTCTAATTTCAAAGCCCTTATAACTACTATATTTTGCTTTGTATCTCCTAAGCCAGAGGTAATTTTCTACATCAGTGAAAATGTGGAAGCACCATGTCTTGAAAACTCTGCTGTCATACTAAGCTAGCCAAATAGTCTTACCACTCAGTTCCTTTTAACTCAGCTATCATTACTGAGCTTGCATATTCTTTGCTAGGTGCCATTGAGTGCCATGAGCACATGGAAGAATAAGATATGCATGGAACTTTATGGTTCTTTCTAGGACAGTCCCTTCTGTCCTTTGCACTCTTACTTGTAGGCAGTCCCTTCCCTTTCCTTTGTCCTTGACTTGGGATTGATATATTGTAAGGGAGAGTTCCTTCCAGACAACCCAAATGCCTATTGTTTTACAACAATAAATTCCTGGCTTTATAACATTTATCTTCTCCTTTATTGTCATCACCATTCAAAATCATTGATTTGTAACTTTATGTAAAATTTATATATATATATATGTATATATATATATATAAACTCATTGTTTGAAATAACTTCAAATATAAGTGTATAAACTAAAAAATAAAAATAAATAAAATTCAACTTTTTCCTCTTATGTATAGTACCATTTATTATTAAGGCTTCTTGGCGTTTTCTTTTTTTTTTATTTTTTATTTTTTGTGGTATTGAGACAAAAATACCACACCACCAGCCCTTTTTTTGGATGGTTTTTTTGAGATAGGGTCTAGAACTATTTGTCTGGGAGTGGCTTCACTGTTGGAGTAGATGTTTTTTGTCTTAGTGCATTTGTGCTGCTATAACACAGTACCTTAGCATGGATAACTTACAAACAACAGAAATTACTGGTCATAGTTTAGAGGTTGGAAAGGCTGAGATCAAGGAGTCAGCAGATTCTGTATCTGAGGAGGGCTTTCTGCTTCATAATGCCTCATTGCTGTGTCCTCAACATTGTAGAAGGAGCAGACATACTCCCACTGGCCTCTTTTATAAAGGCACTAATGCAGTTCATGAGAGCAAAATTCTCATGACCTAATCTCCTCCCCAAATCCTCATCTTTTAATACTTATCATATTGGGGATTAAGTTTCAACAGATGAATGGTGGGGAGGGGACACATGAAAACATTCAGGCCATAGCTTTAGAAATATTTTTGCTCACCTGAATTGAGTATATTTATAAGATAAATTCTTAACAGTGTGCATGCCAGGTGCTAGTGGCTCACACCTATAATCCTAACTTCTCAGGAGTCAGAGATCAGGAGGATTGAGGTTCGAAGCCAGTCCTGGGCAAATAGTTCTCGAGACCCTGTCTTGAAAAAAGCCATCACAAAAAAGGGCTGTGGTAGAGTGCCTGTCTAGCAAGCATGAGGCCCTGAGTTCAAACCCCTACTGTCAGAAAACAGTTGTTGGAACACTTAAAATTTTTGCTAGTTATTGATCAATTACCCTTTGAAAAAGTTGTGCCAAGAACTTGAAAGTGTGTATAAGTCCTGTTTCCTCACCTTCTAGGCAACACTGAGCATTATCAGTATTAATCTTTATTCATTTGGTAGATTTAAAACATGAGGGCTGGGGATGTAGCTTAGTGGTAGACCACTTACTTAGCATGCACACACACACACAGGCATGCACGCACGCATGCAGGCATGCATGCACGGTATCTACTTGTTTTAATATGCATTTCTTTAGTTATGAGTGAATTTTGTTAGCCATTTATATTATACTTTATTAGCCATTTGTACTTATTTTTGTAAACTATGTATGTGACTTTTGCTTTTCTATTGTATTGGATTGTCTTTTTTTATGTGTGTGACCTGGGATTTGAACTCAAGAGTTTTAGGCTTGCAAAGCAGGTACTCTACTGCTTGAGCCACACTTTCAGTCCATTTTGCCCAAGTTGGTCTCAAAGCACTATCCTCCTGATCTCAGCCTCCCAAGTAGCTAGGATTACAGGCGTGAGCCATTGATTCCTGGCTACACCTTGCTGTTTTTAAGCCTTTTCCACCATTACACCATTGCCACTAGGTATTACTACAACAAGATGCTTCATGGTGAATTTACAAATTTATAAGTCTGGCATCTTAATCAAATTAAGAAGTTGCAGAGTCACATGGGACCCATGGGGTTTCACAAGTATTGCGTTGTTTCTAATGCATGGGAAATTCAACTAATTTCTCTATGTGGAATTTATATTCTTGTCCTTTTCATTTTGTTTAAAAAAATGTTTTGTTTTTCAGGTTCATGGGTGTATGTGTACATCAAGGACAACTGCATGCCCTTACAGAGGTAAGACTTAAAGAAGTATGTTGAGGTGACTTCTTTGCCTTGGTTTCAGCTGTTATAGTTGCACAGTATTACTTGTGTATGTAAGCAAAATATATGTGCACTTACATTTACACAAAAATGACAGGGTTAACAATGCTTTTTCCTGTTGCCTTGGGACAATGGTGTTCTCTCTCTCTCTCTCTCTCTCTCTCTCTTTCTCTCTCTCTCTCTCTCTCTTCTTCCCTTTCTTCCTCCCTCCTTTTCTCACTCCCTCTACCTCCCTCTTCCACTCTCTCTCCCTCCCTCTTCCTCATTCTCTTTCTGGCGGGACTGGGGTTTGAACCGAAGGCCCTGCACTTGGTAGGCAAGCACTCTACCACTTGAACTACCCTCACAGCCCTTTATTTTTCAAATAAGGGTCCCCCCACTTTTTGCCTGGGACCAGCCTTGGACCACTGTCTTCCTACCTATGCCTCCTATATAGCTGGGATTACAAATTTGTATTACCATATCTGGCTTGCTTGTTGAGATAGAGTCTTGCTAACTTTTTTTCTCGGCTGGCCTTGAATTTGGATCCTCTTTATCTAAGCATCCTCAGTAGCTGAGACTGTAGGCATGAGCCACATTGCCCATTCCTTTTTTTCTTTGTGTTACTGAGAATTGAACCCAGGGCCTGTACATGTTAGGTAAGTGCTCTGCCACTGAACTAGGTCTCCAACCCCAAATGGCTGTATCTCTGAATATTCTTATATTCCCTCATGATATTGGTGAGTACTCTGAGAATATGAGTGTTTAAGTATTAAATTGGTTCTTGCTCCCCAATGACTCCCTTCTAAGCCAAAGGATAGCATCATTTAATTACATACTCTTTCTTGCAACAAATTCCCAAACTGGGAAATATTTGGTATCCCAATCTAGAATTCCAGTCACTGCTCTGGTTTCCTGATTGGTCTTATTACTTATTGAAATCAGTTTACATATCCATTCTTATTCATTTCTAGCTTTTGTGGTAGTCACTACTCATCCTGTATAAAACAAAGGCTTCCCAAATCTTGGCACAAGTTATGAGTTTCAGAATATACTTGAATGCTTGTTGGAATACATTCCTGGAATCTCCTGCACTTAACATGTCTGCATAGGTCCTATATGTATTATTTCTTTCTTTTGCCATACTGGGGTTTGAACTCAGGGCTTTGTGCTTGTTAGGCAGGCACTCTACCACTTGAGCCACATTCCCAGCCTTTTTGCTTTCGTTATTTTTTGAATAGGGTTTTGTGTTCATGCCTGGGCCAGCCTGGACTATGATCCTCCTATGCTTTCTAAGTAGCTTAGATGACTGGTGCTAGCTACTGTGCCCAGCTTTTATTGGTTGAGATAGGGTCTCCTGAACTTTTTGCCCAAGCTGGCCTAGAACTGCAGTCCTCACAATCTCTGCCTCCTGAGTAGCTAGGATTATAGGCATGACCCACTGTTGCATGGCTATGTTCTCTGCTTTGTTTTGAGACATGGTCTCACTGTATAGCCCAGGCTGGCCTCAAATTCAAGATCTACCTGCCTCAGCCTCCCTGAACCACCACACCTAGCCCAATCTGTATTCTTTAAAGCTCCTGCCCCTCATTGGACTAGTGGAGTGGTCAAGTGATAGAGTGCCTGCCTAATAAGCATGAGGCCCTGAATTCAAGCCTTGGTACTGCCAAAAAAAAAAAGGCTCCCCAGATTATTCTCATAAGCACCTAGAGCTGACAATCTGTGTTCTAGAATGTTTTCGCATTCCTCCTTGAGAAGTAAGTACCAAAGTGCAAAGTGAAGAAACTTAGGAAGGAAACTTGTTTAACAGAATTTGAAGGAGTATTGGTTTTCTGCTAAATTGGGTGCCTGGTGTTAGTTTTTAATATTTTATGAAGTAGACTCCCATGTGCCTCACTCTTTGTCTCTTTTCTCAGTTACTGAAGGCACTAGAATGTAGAATGTGTACAGCTATGTCTTGCCTTTTCTATGGAAGGCCAAAAAGGTAGAACCATGAGGAGGTTAAGAGCATGGCCTCTGAAGTCTTGTTGCTTATGTTTGAATCTCTTTGTGTCTCAATGTTTTCATCTGTTAAATTGGGAGGATAATAATTGTACCTGCTTTAATGAGTGTAGCTAGAGAAGAGGTATAGGAGTCAACTCAGGCCTATAGTATTTTCAAAGCATGGTGGCACATGACTGTCATCCCAGCACTGGAAAGGCTGAGTAAGGAGGATCTCATGTTTAAGTCAGCCCAGGCTACATAATGAGACCCTGTCCCATCCCCAAAATAAATAAGTAAATAAATAAATATAAATAAAGTAAGTGTAGGAAGAGGAGCAGCCTGAGGAGCAGTTAGTAAGGGAGATGAAAACCAGGAGAGCCTGTGAGTCTAGAATGGAAAGGAAGGCATTTCAAGGGAAGAGAGCAATTAAATGTGACAAATGCTGCTGATAAAATGAGTGACCTCACAAGGATGCTGTGAGAATGAAATTAAAGTGTTTATTTAGCACAGTGCCTGGCATATAGTAATTGCTAATACATGTTAACTACTACAACTTTTATTGTTAATAGTGTCTAGTCTCTCCTTTGAATTCTGATTTGTCACTGTTTTTCCTAAACTGCTATTAATGCCATTACATTTAAAAAAGCTTTTTACTGCATTGTAACATAACAAAGTGCATATATACAAAAAATACATATAATTAGCACTCCACATCTAGAAAAATTTTCTTTTTTTTTTTTTGGAAAGGTTTTTTTGAGATAGGGTCTCTCAAACTATTTACCTGGGCTAGCTTTGAACCATGATCCTCTCGATCTCTGCTAGGATTAGAGGTGTGAGCACCAGCACTGGCCATTAATTAGATATTGACGTAGCTTGATATTAACAATTTTTATTATGATATTAATAGACTGACAGTGGTGAAGCTCAAATATTCACATATCATTGGTTGTTTTCAGAAGGGAATCAGCAAAGGCCGTGATGGCATAGGTCTCTGGGGACTTTCAGGTTTAATTGCCTCATGATTTGACATAGCTATTGATTTCACCAAGGATGGTAAAAGTAAATCATTAATAACATCTAACATGCTCTTGAAACTTGGATGACATTGAGTAAATATTTCTGGATTGGAATATTGTCTGCCCTTCAAAGAAATGAGAGCATTATTCCTCATTTCTCTTCAAATTTCTCAATAATTATAATAGATAAGCATAGTTCTATTAATGCCTGGAAGATATTGACATTCTTGGAAAGGACATTTCTCATATATGTGGTGATACAGACTTTTCTGGGCTTAAACAGTTTCCATAAATCTTCATAGTAATTGTAGACATTAATTGACTGGAATAGCCAGTCACATTTTTGTTTTTTAAGTTCTCTGTAGTAGGATAGACTTCTAAGTTTTTGAACAACCTAGTATTTGTTAATGTAAAAGCAGTTTGGTAAAAGATCACACAGAATTTTTTATGTTTAATGAGTTGAAATAATCTATATTTTATTGAGTAGATTTTTTTATAAGTATCTCCAACACAGAAGACCTAATCTTGCCTTTCACTTGATCAAATGTTTTTAAAAGACAGTAAATATATTAATGTATAAGTAGCTATTTCCATGCAATATCCAACCACAATACTACAAAAGCATATATATTAAGCATTTATTTCTCATACATTTCCAGGGTCAGCTGAATTGAGCTGGGGTGGATTGGACAGTTCTATGGGTCTAACTCATGCATCTGCAAGTCATTTGATGATCTGTTCTAGGCTGAGATTTCCTGGGATGAGCTTTTCTTATCCTCCTTCTGGGACCAATGGGCTGGCCAAGACATATCCTTTTAATGATGATTCCAGAATAGCAAGGGTATGCCTGCCTATTGGCACATATGCTTTCCATGACTCTGTTTATGCTCAGGTTTGCCTGACTGACATGCCATTGGACAAAGCAAGTCACATACCCAAGCCCAAAGGGTAGAAATTATGCCTCACCCTCAATAGGAGTATACTGCAAAGTTACATATCAAAGGCCAGGGCCATGGATTTATTAAGGGGTGAAGAATTGGAACCCTTGTTAATGATCTCCTGTATTCTATAAATACCTCAATTAGCAGATTGTAATTAATTTGTCTTTTCTACTCCTCTTGAGGATACTTTCTCCCAAGCTTGGTGTGGTGGTACACACCTGTAATCCCAGCACTCAGAAGACTGAGGCAGGAAGATCACACATTTGAGGCCAGAAGACCCTGTGTCAAAACCCCAAAACCAAGCTGGGGGCTGATGTTTCATGCCTGTAAGTCTATCTACTTAGGAGGCTGAGATCAGAAGGATCACAGTTGGAGGCCAGCCTAGGCAAATAGTTCATGAGACCCCATCTCCAAAAAAATAACTAGATCAAAGTGGAGTGGAAGTGTGGCTCAAGTGAAAGAATGCCTGCTTTGCATGTGCAAAGCCCTGAGTTCAAACCCCAGTACTACCCCCAAAAATTAATTAATTATTATTATTTTTTTTGGCAGTACTGGGTCTTGAGCTCAGGGGCTTCACCTTGAGCCACTCCACCAGCCCTATTTTTGTGAAGGGTTTTTCAAGATAGGGTCTTGTGAACTATTTGCCTGGGCTGGCTCTGAACCACAGTCCTCCTGATCTCTGCCTCCTAAGTAGCTAGGATTATAGATGTGAGCCACTGGCACCCAGCAAAAAAGTAACAATTAAAAAAATACTTTCTTTCCATTTTTAAAACCATAACAACTACTAGTTATCAAATCCTCACTGTGGGCTAAGTGCTGTGCTTGGTACTTTATGTCCACTATAATTCTCAAAATTCTGTAGTCCTGTCTTCCATTTTGTAGATAAGAAAAATAAGGTTTAGGGAAATTTAAGTGGCTTTCCCAAAGAGGATTGGATCTGGGCTTATGCAATTTCCATTACAAAATGCTTTTTTTTATGGTGCTGGTGATTGAATCCATGGCCTTGTACATGCTTGGCAAGTGCTCTACCCACTGAGTTATGTACCTAGCCTAC